TGAGAGCTTGCAATGGAAGCCGACGCTTCGTCATACAAGGTACACAAAAATTACAATCTAGGGTTCATGCCTTCTTTCACTCCAATTGTTTCTGTGTTGAATCGTTTCCCCCAAAACATTATTGGCATTTTCCCTCTTTCCCCTCTTTTCGTTCTAAGTTCAGCTTCTCTGTATCATGGTTAGTTTTTAATGAATTCATGATTCATCGAACCGTTGTTATTTTGACGTACTTTTGCTGTTTGCAGATTATATTGGGCTCATCCTCTATTGCACGCCGGAAGATATTGGCTGAAATGGGCTACCAATTCACGACAATGGTATATTCCTGCTTGGGTCTTTCGTGGACGAAATCTCCCTAGCTTTTAGAATTTGTGTTAATCCTCTTTTGCTTAGACCGCAGATATTGATGAGAAAAGCATCCGAAAGGAAACTCCTGAAGAGTTGGTCATGGCTTTAGCTGAAGCCAAGGTTTGTTTTGTATGCTAATATTTGTTGTTTGCTTCTGTGAAGTGAAATTACTTATAATACCTAATTCTTTGGCTGATATTTGATCCGTAGCTTATCGGTCTATAGATAGGGAGATTGTCATCCGAACAAAATTGAAGGAATCTTGATGCGAGTCAAATGTTGGATTAACAACAACAACAACATTATTATTATTTTATTTTGTATAGGAGACCTTAAGGAGATATGTTACCCTAGCTTCCTGGAATCACCTGAATTAATGTTTTCTTTCCTTTTTTTCCTGTTTCTGCCTTGTTTTTGCTTGTCCATTTTACCTTTACTTTAAGACCCTAATGGAAGAACGTGTTTAGATAAAGTATTCTCTGATTCTAAATGTGAATCACATGTCAGGCTGATGCCATCATCTCAAAACTCCAAACAACCAATAGTCAAGAGGCTGTTGATGAATCGACAATTTTAATTGCAGCGGACACAGTATGTCTTTTTTCCTTCTCGTTGATGACCTTGGATTTAGTGTTGCAGCTATTAGGTTGGTTCTTCACCAAGGCCATTTATTTATCAAGGATCCAAAATTTCCTTTTAGAGGACACATTGCATACCAGATTCTACTTAACTGAGCTTGCTTTTTGGGGCATCCATCGTGGGGACACAAGTACTTCATTCTCTGTTGCATAATCATAAACCAAATGTCCTCTTGTTGACCTTATTATCGACGACTGATGGAAACCAGAATTATACTGGCGCTAAAGTGTTCTTTTATTGAGTTGATATAACATATGATAGAAAAATATTACATTCAAAGGAACGGATGCACAACTCAATCAGAATATAAACAAGAAAATAGAAGCTATAATGCAAAATAAAATGCTCCCCTGACTTACTAGATGCTGGGGACTCTCCTCAAACTAGGTGAAATTCTTCCCTAACCTTCAGAATTGCACTGACACTTGCTACTTCCCTGAGAATGGAATGTAAATGGAAGATTAAGCAGTTTATTCATACCTTTTTGGTTCTGATTCTGTATGTGTATCTGTTCCTTATGGTAAGTCAGTTCGCATTTTTATATCCTGTTTCAGTGCTTGCATGGGTTTGCTTCTAATTTTTCTCTCGTTGTAGCTCTTATCTGATGATTTCATATGATAATTTACTTCTTGCAAAATGCTGTTCTTAGCCAGTTGTCCCGCAGCTAATCCTCAGGTGCTTACTTTAGCTTATGATAATTTTTACTTAGGCAGAAGCTATTTTAAAGAGGCTCCCCGTTGATGACCACATAAAGGATGCTGAGCCAACATTATTAATTACCTCTGATCAAGTACACATCATATCTTCTAATTAACTCTTTTCTGGATCTTCCTTGTACATGTTCTGCTTATCAATGGGCATAAATTATCATATCCTTGCGAATGGGATTTTCTAAAGGCGGAATTGCAATAATGCTATCATAAAACACCATCAGCAGTGTCATTGTGGCTAAAGAAGCCTTTGGCCGGTTTGGTGTCTCATAAAATACTAGGGTTATTAACAGCACAAAAATATTTAGACTGTTCAATTAATTTGTATATCCTGGCATCTTGGCTGCAATCCTAACTAATCTCCATTTTCAAGTGCCCAAACTTGCACTTCTGTGTGCTCTGTATCCTCATAAATAAAAGGCCAACTGGTGACAACCTCCTGCAACAGAAGAATTGCAACTTCCTTTTCTTTCTCTGAGGCAAAGCTTGCATATGTCTAACATTTGCTGTTAAATGATTTGGAGGTGGTGGTCTATGAAGGCGTGATAAGGGAAAAGCCATCTAACAAAGAAGAAGCTCGACAATTCTTGAAAGGTTTGTGCAATGTTATCTTTGCTTCATTTATCAACAAGGAGAAAAAACCGCTTTTCCTTCCAGCTCCCTCTTTCTCACTCACCTCCTCCTATGGTTCTTATTTGGACTTCTAATCGCTTCCTATAGATCTCTATTTTTAATGGTTCAATACATGTCTTCAGATTATTCTGGAAAGCATGCAGCAACTGTAGGGTCTGTGCTAGTTACAAACCTCAAAACAGGGTTCCGTAAAGGAGGATGGGATCGTGTGGAGGTATTGTTTGCTTCTAACTTTGCTTTTCTTTGTTCTTTTGGTTAATATTGTCTCAGTTTGCCCCCTAGTTTATCGTTTCAAAACCGATCTATTATTTCTCCTGTATATATATGAGACCAATTCCTGCCAAAAAAAATATTAACAGGAAAAGAATGCTCATTCTCTAGTGACTTGCTACTAATGATTCTTTGTTGGGGTCTCGGGGAACATGCAGTTAGTCACAGTTAATTGCTCGACATTGGAATAAATCTATAATGGATTCCAGCTCACTATGTTTTGGAATAAAATTTTATAGATATGCTACATGAAAGTCAGTCGTTATTAAACGTGGCACGGTTGCTTTGGTTTCTACTCATTGCTTAAGCCAGCAAATGTTGGGTCTTCCCATTCGTTTGCTATTAGTTTCTACATAGATGCGCTCCTTTCCGTGTTCGCTCCCACTCTATTTTCTTACCCTATGTGGAAATGATTTTGTTTTGTGATTTACAGATATATTTCAATGAAATACCAGATGAGATCATCGAGAAGCTGGTAATGATTTCCTTTATTACATTGCTTCGCTATCTTAAATTGCCGTACAAAATAGTTGATACCCACCTTTTTTTTCCTTCCCAGGTTGACGAGGGAGTGACACTCAACGTTGCTGGGGGTCTCATAATTGAGCATCCTTTAATATTACCATTAGTCAAAGAAGTGGTAGGTTGGCTCATCTTATGTGATTAGCAGTCACAATGCAAAATAATTTATGGCCTGGACGATAGTCGTGGCCCTGTCCTGGCAAGGATGAAGATTTTTGGTCGTCTCGCCTTCCTAATCCTACTGTGGACTGGTTAATTCTAAGCGGTGGTATATATTTGCAGGTAGGGACAACGGATAGTGTGATGGGACTTCCCAAAGCTCTGACTGAAAATCTCTTAAAGCAGGCCGTGTAGCTGTCGCTGCCCTTGCGCCTTGGCAGACTAATTAATTTAAATGACATTAACCAAACTCTGCATTTTCTGAGAACAGTAACACTATTCTGCCGAAATGTCGTGGCTGTCATTTCTGGGCTGTTTCTGGCAAGATGGCCAGTTTGCACAATTGTTTTGTTTTGGTAACATCGACATTCGAGTTCTAATTTATCATATAATAACCAAATGATTAGTTTGAGTAGACTAAAAGCATCTGTTAAGTTAGTTATTTGTAATAAATATATATATTTTTTAAGAATACTCTTACTAAGCATGTGTATTTAACATATACAATTACTATAATAATTATTTTAAAAAAATAGATAAATATAAAAGACAGAATAAATAAATTAGAATCTTAAATTAAAAATTAAACTAAATTAGTATATTAAGGATCGGCAAAGTATAACGTATTGATGTTTTTGTGATGGTTCACTTGCATGGTTATTCGGGTCATGAGTTGGAAGGATATTTTTGGAAAAATTACGTACAGGTCTCACAGAAGGCAATTTATTCATCTAAGGTCTCATGAAATGTCCAAATCACTGACAGGTTCCAAGGGACCTCAGAGTAATATTTTCGATTTGTAAAATGACATTACTGCCCTTCATATTTCAGATTTACCTTTCCTCTGTCATTGCGATTTACAACCTCAATAGCGACTATTAATAACCCAACGAGAGGGCGTTAACAACCCTAGCAGTATCCGTTAACAACTTACTTTATAGAATCATATAACCTCCACATAAGAGTAAATTATAACCAAATAGTATAATACAACAACTTTAACACTAAAATGGGAAGCTTTTTGATATCATTAAGAATTTTAACTAAATCCAACAGGATTATAGTAATATTTTAATGCGAAGATCCATTTACAACCTTAGCAGCGACTATTAACAACCGAATGGGAGGGCATTAACAACCTAAGCAGTATCCGTTAACAACTTACTTTATAGAATTATATAACCTCCGCATAAGAGTGAATTATAACCAAATAGTATAATACAACAACTTTAACACTAAAATGGGAAGCTTTTTGATATCATTAAGAATTTTAACTAAACCTAATAGGATTATAGCAACATTTTAATGCGAAAATCCATTTACAACCTCAACAGTAAGTATTAATAACCTAAGGAGAACTATTAACAACCTTAGCAGTGTCTGTTAATAACTAAGTTTATCGGATAATATAACTTCTAACTATAACTAACTAAATTATAACTAAATAGTCTTAAAGTTAATCTTATATAGTTGTTAGAGGTTATATTATCCTATAAAATCAGTTGTTAACAGATACTGTCTAGATTGTCAATAGCTCTCATTGGGTTGTTAATACTCACCGTTGAGATTGTAAATGGATCTTCGCATTAAAATGTTGCTATAATCCTATTGGATTTAGTTAAAATTCTTAATGATATCAAAAAGCTTCCCATTTTACTGTTAAAGTTGTTGTATTATACTATTTGGTTATAATTTACGCTTATATAGAGGTTATATGATTATATAAAGTAAGTTGTTAACGGATACTGCTTAGGTTGTTAACGCCCTCTCATTGGGTTGTTAATAGTCGCTGCTGAGATTGTAAATCGCAATGACAGAAGAAATGTGAACCTGGAATATAAGGGGCAGTAATGTCATTTTACAAATCGAAAATATTACTCTGAGGTTCCTTGGGACCTGTCAGTAGTTTTGACATTTTGTGAGACCTTAGATGAATAAATTGCCTTCTGTAGGACCTGTATGTAATTTTCCCTATTTTTTTCTTTTCCCAGAAGGTGAAATGGCCGGAAAAGCCTTCGCCATTCTTAGGCTTTCTGGATCTACATTTTTTGTCCCCCAAATTATTTTAAAAAACCCAAAGAATCTTTAAAATTTGAAGTCCCATGGATCAGTACGAGTCCCTGGAAATGGATGTGAATCCATCTAAAAATACAATGTGTATTATATCATATCACGTATCAATTATCAGTACATCTTTCAAAGTAATGGTGCATCACTGATCGTGCTCACGAAAGTAGTCCTGGTCGTGTTGATGTAATTTAATATATGCGTTACATATGGGAGGGCAAATAATACAAGTACAACGAGGAGTTTTTTTTGGAAAAAAAATTATGTTGAGTAGGCTGATATGGTCTTTTCCATAAATAAGCTTTTTAGTTTCTTATATCGATCATTACAATGATATAATAAATTTTAACTCTTCCTTAAATTTTGTTGGCAAATCTCTTAAATTAAATTCAGTTTGGTTTTCAATTGACACAAATTTCACGAAAGATTATTAGCTGTTGATTTAATGACAATTTCCTACTCAAATATTTTCATTTTTATAATCAATATCTAGAGAATTTAGAATTATTTTCCTAAAATTATTTAAGAATATCACTGGAAAAATATATAATTACTTATAAATAAAATATATGCCAATTTCCAAGAACAGAGAAAACCCTATCAGCTTGCTACAGAAAAATTATCAATAATATTTTCTCCCATAAAATTTACACCTCATAACTTCTCCGGAAGTTTGCACCTCCTTGCCATATGGCGGCCCCGTGTCCATGTCGCCTCGCGCCCATCTGCATTGCTTTAAATTTTGATCCAAAGGATGAAAAGATCAACCTTTTGAGCTTTTAAGACGAACTAGAAAAGGATTTCATGAACTGATATGAAAAAATGGAGCGGTATGAGTAACTTGGCATCTTTGACTACATAAAATGGGGCGAAAGGGAAAGGGTGAGAGAGCCTACTTACCAATATACACAACGACTCACATAAAACCGACCCCAAACTTTGAAATTTGAAGGCTAATCGAGGTCGAATTTGATTCTTTTCACCTTTCCACCTATTACTCCTTAAATTACAACCCTCTTGTGAAAGCGAAATGAATGAACAAAACATGCGATACACCATAACGAAAGGCCAAAAATCACAAGGAAGGGAACCATTTTTTCAGATATGAATAAAATAAAAATCGAGGCTAAACGATCATGTTGATGGTTTTCTACCAGCAAACCTCTTCAAAGATTTTGGTAAACCAACTTCCTCGCTCATTTTTCGTTTCTTTCTGGAAATTGCTTCCTCCTTTATGTTTTCTTCCAAGAAAGGCCTCTTCACTTTCTCAATTGCTTCCTTCTTTTTCTTCAGCTTCTTGCTTGGTTTACTTCTTCCTTTAGTTTTTTTCTTCATTTCAATGTCCTTGGCAGCTTCAACAGCAGCTTCTATCTCTGCCTCCCTCTCCATCCTTGTCATCTTCTCCCTCCGTGTAGGCTTTACTGAACCAATTTTGCTTGGGTCCAACATGATCGTCTCAGGCGGCAGCTTATCCAGCAGTGAGCGAACTTCTTTCTCTCTCCTCTGCTTAGAGGTTTCAAATGGATTAGCCACCCATGTATCAAAGTTAGGTTCTCCCGATCCTGGAATAAGAATGCTGGACCAACCCATGGAATGCCCTATGCCAAGAACATCCTCGTATGGTCGAAACATTAACTTTGCTATTTGGTAACCTTTAACCATGGAATGAGTCATATACCTTGAATAATTCTGCGTACCAGAAAGATCACCCAGAACCTGTATAAAAGATCCCGTACCACAAGCAAGCAATCCTTTTTGACTAAAATCCAAGGTGTTGGCATGGCCATGTAGTGTCTGGAGAACCTCAAATTTCCTCAAGTCCCAAAGCTTTATTTTTTTGTCTCTTCCAGCTGTGGCCATTAAGTGGCCATTTGAGTGAAAAGCCAGAGCTGAGAGAGGACCATGATGGCACAACATCTTGACAAGAGGAGCTGAGCTTGTTGGCTTCCACATTGTGACTCTACCGCCTGAATGACCCAAAGCAACAACCCCATTGAAGGGGTTCACTTGCATCACATCAGTACGACCTAAACCAGTTCGAATATTACCAACCATTGCACCCAACGTAACATCCTGATAATGCAGCTGCCCAAACTTATTTATTGAAGCCAGAAGGAAGTGATTCTTTAGAAACTGAAGCCTTAACACAGAACCATGTTCCTGTAGCAATAAAAAAGGAAACAATCAGCATCACAAACATGCATCTCGTATTAATTACTTTCAGTAGATTGTGAAAGGAAAAACCAATAAAATTTCACTCTGCAAGAAGCAGTAGAAAATCCTTGCATGGAAGTCACATATATGTGAGAGCGCCAGCAAATGCTAAGCCATCTTGAGTCAATTAACAGTACCCCGTAAGGTATTTATGTTCAAGTAAGGAAGATGCTGTTCAAGGTAACAAAAATCAAATATTGAATTCAAGTGACAATCTTCAAAATAATTGCTGGCCACATGCAAGAGATGATCAGAGAAGCTGACAGGCTCAAATTCAATACGTTACAAAAGCAATATACCAACCTTAAGGCAATGAAGCTCAGTGCCAGCACGGTCATAGATGTAAAGATACCTGTAAAATTTGAAAATTCTCAAGTTATATATAACCTTAAAAACTAATTTTTCAATGACTTAATTGGTAAGAAACAAATCTAAACATATTATCCAAATGGTAGATTCAGCATAAAAACAAGCTGATAACATCCCAAGCCTCTTATCACATAAAATTTTGTCCAAGTGAAAGTACTGGAATAAGTGACAATAAGACCCAATCAACTACCCATATGAATAAACCAACTAGTCATATGACAACAGGATGTACTCATCAGAATTTTGTGTTCATTCAAAGCTATAATATGAAGGCACTTGGCACCCAATTTTGTGAATGATAAAAACGTACATTGTATAGCATGCCTACGTATCACATTGAGGTATAAGAGATGCTCAACAAAGCATTTACATAGGTTTGTTCTCCCACCTTAATAGCTAATTTATGGGACAGGGTTCTCCATTAGGGCATTGGCTCTTCAATGGAGCACAATCGATGGAGACTTAGGTAAGCATGAGACACCTAAGGGTGTGTTTGGTATGAGGGATTTGGAGGGGAGGGGAGGGGATGGGAGGGGGAGGGGAGGATTTTAATCATTTCCCCTTGTTTGGCAACACACAAATTTTAGGAGGGGAGGGAAAATTTTTTAAAATTTTCCCTCCCCTCCCCTCCCCTCCCCTCCAAAATTGAGAGGATTTGGAGGGAAATGGCAATATTTTGCCATGTTGTAACCATTACACCCATATCTTGCTATGTGATGACCATTATACCCATATCTTAAATAAAATAAGGGCAAAATTGTCCATATCAAAATATTTTTCCCTCCCCTCCTCTCATAAACCAAATAAGGTAATATTAAAACTCCTCCCCTCCCCTCTTTTTTTATAAATCCAAATAAGATAATTATTAAAATCCTTCCACTCCCCTCCCCTCCTCTTCCCTCCATTAAAATCTCTTCCCTACCCTTCCTCTCATTAAGCCAAACAGACCCTAAGCCTCACAATAAGTAATATGAGATACTTAATGGAATATTTAAGCAGGTTGGTTCCCCCACCTCAAAATCTATATTTTAGGAGATCCTACTCATGTACCCATTAATGAAGAAACTTTAAAATTATAGTGCAAAGGCAAACAATTAAGTACAAACTCAGTTAAAAAAAATTACTTTTTCTGCGCAGCAGCAAAAAACAGCTCGTTATGCAAGAATGTCACATCACGAACTGTTTCTCTAACCTGGAAGAAACCATAAAAAAAAGTGAGAATTTCTCTGGCACGATCACTATGAGCTTTCAACAACCAAACAGAACCATTAGGAGCATATTTCAAAGTGTCCCCCACAGGCAAAATGGCACTTAATTAAAGCAAACATATGATTAATAAACAACAAAGATGACGTTTAGGAACACGTTTTTGATGCAGAAGTATAATAAGACTACCTGAAACTCTTTAATTAGACTCATATTCATCAAGTCCACAATTCCCAAATGGCCCTTACGCCCTCCAACAGCCATATACCGGCCACTTGAAGTAAACTGCAATGTGTACGGGCCAAGTTCTGCAAAAATAATACACAGTAAATAGCCAAAAAAAAATGAAGGTCAAATTAATAATAATATCATTTTTGTTATAGGGGGCATCCAAAGCTTTAAACCAAGCCAAAGGTTGCATCATTTTATTTTTCAACATTTAGTAATGATTTTATCCAAGATAGCCGTAAAATGAGGCAAACGTGAAATGCAAGCAAAAAAGAATATTAAAATTCGACATTTTATGACTACAAATAAAATTCCTACTTCATTAATGATTAAGACTTATAAGAAAAAAAACAAAATGAAAATATTATGAGGATGCACGAACAAAGATTTAAATTTGATTTAAGATAATTATAGCCAGCAAACAATTGAAAACAACCTGGCAAAATGATATCATATTGGTTTCTTGAGCTCAAGATATCTACTTCTTTAGCTATCGCCTCTTGTTTGATCCTCCATGTCTTCTCTATGCCTTCAGCCTCTAGATAACCTCCCTCACTGGGCACAAGCCACTACACAAATGAAATTAAGGGTCAGGGAAAATGTATCATTGTGCATACAATAACTGACATCTTTCACTAAGTTGCAACATCCTTTAAATTTGGATCTAAAAGTCCCAAATAAATCTTGATTCTCAATATGAATTCAATCTACAAACATATGTGACTCAATATCAAATAATAATGATCCAGATATGTTGAAGAAGATCCATTTAAAAATGTTGCATGTGACTATGAGATCTAGCTCATACTTTTGACCCCATAGCATATCAAGGGTAATAATAGTCCATCAGGAAGGGTCAGAGTATATAAAGCTTCCTTTATCAATTTGAACAAGAAAAGAGATATTCATGCTTTGTTTGGAGAAAATAGATAATCATTAAAAACATTCTAAACGTTATGTTACGTACAATAGTAGAAATATGTAAATTTATATAAATATGACAAGTTATAAAACTTCATTTTAGATGAGCCACAACTTTCCCCTCTGGTGCTGTTCTTCAGAGGCACTGAGGAAATATTTGTCAACCCAGAGCCTCACGAGGCACCAAAGAGGAGCTTTCTGAAGAAAAGGTCAAAAGACTAACCTTATCCGCCTTGGCAGCAACTTTAGCAGATTTGCTATATAACTCTTCTCTAACAGAAAGTTGGCCCTTCAGTTTTTTATCTGTCAAAACCTGCAATTTATAGTTTGCGGTGATAATAAGCTAACATGATCAAATATCTATCTCTAAATTCTTGAAATCCAAATAGTTCGTACCTCCAAATTCGCACCTTCTCCTCTCAGGTACTTTTTTATTTTAAGATCTAACTCATCAGAAATATCCTGCAAAGCAAAATTATGTATCAGTAATAAATAATTTAAAATACCATGCATACGCTATAAAGGAAGCAATCCGTATTTCTGAACTAAAAGATCTAAATAATATACTGGTGCATGTAAGCTAAATTGTCGTTATTAAAATTGATACTTGCTATTTTGTGAGAACCAACACTACTTCTTAGTTATGATTAATACCCTTTTTTTTCATAAAAAACTTAACTTCGGACCGGGTGAAAATGCAAGAACGTCTTTGAAATATCCTACTCCTACACTTTTTTCTCTCTTCTTTTCTATTTCTCTACAGTTTTGTTTTAAGAACAGATGTGTAAGTTCTTGACTACCCTTGGGCTTTTTCAGCAAATGGTGTTTTAACGACCCTCTACTTTACTTCGTAGATTTATGAAGGTATATCAGTGTGGAAGAGACTTCTGAGTTAGTCCTAGTTTAGAATTCTTATACGAGGTTTGGGAGGATTCCTCGTCCTTTGTTGTTGTAACGCTTTCTCCTGTCGTCCAGAAATCATTTTTTTCCCCTAGTTAAAAGCAGACTAAGTATCACATAAGCAAAACGTTGCCAGAGAACTTTAATAGAAAAACTCAAACTCTTTACAGATTTTTCCCTCGATAACTTTGTCGCGTCCCATTGGCAAGTCTTCAATTAAGAAATTCAATTAAAAAACATAGCTGGTAAAAATCATAAAACACTCAATGTACCAAAACGGTCGCGATAAAAAAATTCAGGTACGGTCTCAGGGACACCAACTAGTCTTCGTATTGCGCCAAAATGAAATAACTAAAAGCACGTGTTCAATCCCTATTTTTACATTCGACTCTATAAATCGAAGCTATCCAACGCGTACCTGTTCGGTGGAAGGCTTGGCCCTCCCAAGAGTGTCATTGTCTAGCACCTCAGCCATCTTAGCAAGAAACCGAACTAATGGCGGCACGAGGCACCGGCGGCAAAGGTCGAATATCCTCTCCCCACCACAGCGTCGCTTAAGCTTCAAACGGTGATACTCGAATCAATTCCCTGAGGAGACAGAACAGAGAAAACTTCTGCACAAAGACGGCGGAAGAGAAGGCAGGAAAAGGCAACGTAATAGATGGCGGGAGAAGACGCCGGCTTTGGGTCAGTGGGAGGGTTTGCTTGGGGTTTGGGTTCTTAACTTCTTGCAATTTGCGCTTCCCTTTACCCTGGCCCAACATTCAACATATTATTTTTTCGGCCCAGTGCTGTAAATTGATAAAAAAAAAAAAAGGATAATTTTTTATTAAAAAAGAATAATTTTATTTACTGTTTAATATCATAAGTTTTCATAAAGTAGCACCTCTGTACTTAATATAAGACATATTTAACTAATTTTATTAAATTAAAAAATTAAATAAATTAGTTAATTATAACAAATATGACTTTTTTTAAAAAACATTATAACCATCTTTTTCAATATTTTTTTTCTTATTTGATTATGGTTGAGAGAATATTAATAAAAATAATTTTAAAAAACAGATAAATATAAAAAATAGATTTATATTTAAGATAAAAATCAATTTAATAATTAAATCTTAATTTAAAAAAAATTTAGTGCGAGAGAGAGAGGCGCGTCCTGCGAAGCTTTCTCTATTACGTCATGATCCTAGTTGGCGCTCATTGCCCCGGCCCACTTCAGCAAATGTTTTCGTAAATAAATGTTGATGACACTTACGTTCCCGAGGCGACGCATATCATCCCACCCAGACCCACCATGGCCACTGCCAGAGAGGAGGCAGAGCAGGTCATGTTTGGTGCCTTGGATAATCTTTTCCTCAAGACTCAAGTAAAGGATAAAGATATAGGGATTCTTGTTGTCAATTGTAGTCTATTTAATCCTACACCTTCACTGTCCGCCAAACAAATATGGATCGAGGGGTGGCATTGCTAGCTTTAGCTTGGTGGGAATGGGTTGTGGTGCTGGAGTTATTGCGGTGGATGTTGCCAAGGACTTGTTGCAAGTCCACCGGAGCACATGCGCTGTTGTGTTGAGCACGGAGAACATTACTCAGAATTGGTACTTCGGGAATAAGAAATCGATGTTGATACCCAGCTGCTTGTTTCGAGTTGGGGGCTTTGCAATTCTGCTATCCAATAAATCTGCAGATAAAAGGAGGACAAAATACAAGCTGGCTTTTCGATGCATTTATCAAGAACAGGACGATGCTGGTAAGACTGGCGTTTCTTTATCTAAAGACAACATCACCGCGCCTGGTCCTCTTGTGCTCCCAGCAGCTTCTGTTTTTTGCAACCTTGCTGATGAAGAAACTATTCAAGGCAGATGCGAAGCCTTACATGCCGAATTTCAAACTTGCATTTGATCATTTCTGCATACATGCCTGGGGTAGCCGGGTAGGGCAGTAATTGATGAGCTGGAGAAGAACTTTGATCTGCTTCCAGAGCATGTAGAGGCTTCAAGGGATCGCTCTGGGAACACTTCATCCAGCTCTATCTGGTATGAGTTGGCTTATAAAGAAGCAAAAGGAAGGATGCGAAAGGGCAATCGGGTCTGGCAAATCGCATTCGGAAGTGGTTTTAAATGTAATAGTGCAGTGTGGGAAGCACTACGTAATGTGAGGTCATCTCCAAATGGACGATGAGATCAATGATTTGAGGGACAAAATGGAAACCACAGATGTTAAAAGTTTCTTTTGAGCTAAACTTGAATAGCATCAACCATCAAGTCCACATCTATCTCATTTCTCATTTTGAATCTCCGAAAATAGCGCAAGACCCATGGCTGAAAAGGAACTTTTAAACCAGTCCCTATAATTTAGACATGAAAAAACATTCTAATAGAAATCCAAGTCATCTGAAAATAACTCTATTTTTTGCTTCTTTTAAAGTCAACAATGCTAACTGCCGCGATAACATTATGATGTAGTGAATCTGTGGAACTAAATCATATTGATAATTGGTGTTTTCTATAATAATCTCTTGACTGGTGAAATTGAGACTGATTGGGAAATATGATTATGCAATAATGCCCATAAGAGCATTAAAAAGAGTTAGTTTGCTGGATGCTAAGATTCACCAGCATGTTAACCTTTAGAATAATTGTTTAGAAATGTTTTAAATTTAGAGAAGTATTTTAAAATGAAAGATAAGGTTTTAAGTGGTTGGAAATATTAGTTTACATGCAGCATCATTTTAAAAAAACAACAACAAAAAAATCTTAAATTCCAAACAAAACACAGGGACAACATTAGGAAGAAAGAGAAGCACGTGCCTTTCAAAGCCAGTCTTCCTTCATCCGCCACCTCGTTGTCTCAAGGCGGTGGATGACGTAGGATGGGAGAAATGGGAGACGGAGGACTGTGTAGTGTGTAGTCCGTTATAAGGCAGTGATTGGTTTTGATTTCAATTTTTTTTCCAAAAAAAAAGTCTCCCCTTTCAGGATAATATGGTAATTTCAAGCGGCATTAGAATGGCAAATAAGAAAGCAAGTGGAATTAATGGGGCATGAGAATTGAGAACATACCATCACGAAAATTATTATTATTATTATTATTTTTTGGGGGGAGTGGGGAATTGATACAGACATCCGCATATAATCTGAAACCAACAATTTCCTGCGGCGCATTGCGAACAACTTGAAATGAACAATCGAATAAACAGCAACCATATAACTGCATGCTCACCAACCCTTTCCTCGGGGTTAGAATTCAGAAGCCACTAGTAAGCAATTAAGCGTGCAGTAATAGCGCTAAATGCTAATAGGCAAGTGGTTAACTTCACCAACTTTGTTTTTTTTTTTTTGGCCGGAACTTCACCAACTTTGTTGGATGCTCGGCTTTAACTGTACATGCTCGTCGAAGACTACTTACTGTGCAAGATTAAAAGCTTGCCCTTGCAAAATCTCAAATGATGAATTTTTTTAACAGTTATGACTGTTTTAAAAATTAAACCACATAATGCTTTATTGATATTCAAAATTTCAATATCATCATATTTTGTTGATGGTTTTAACTTTTAAGATTAAAAAGCTTTTTTTTTTCCTAAGATAAGGGATTGGCTTAAAATCTTATATAAAGTTAAAGAAATAAAAATATACTTTAAATAATTTATATTAGTCCTGTAACACTGGTGCTACTACCTCCGATTTTTATTTTGATTTTAAATATAAAATCCAATCTATTTTGTCTCTTATATTTATTTATTTTTTCAAAATAATCCTTAAAATAATCAAATAATAGTAGTTCTAACTAATACATTTGATCGTAAATATATTTTAGAAATGACAACATCTATTTATTACAAATAACTAATTTAATTAATTTTCTTAATTTACTTAATTTAGTCAAGAAGTTATTATATTAAGGAGGTAGCATGGAAGATAATCATGTTAAAAGCATTTTATCTACCAAAACGTAAAAATATTATATTTTTAAGCTCTCCCTACTTGATGAGCCCACCACTGTCAATGGCCTCTGCATGCGATAATGCAACTACAGGTGTGGATTCTATTCGCTTGTTATTAATCAATCATAACCCATGGGCGCAGCTTTGTGTTATAATATCAAGTTTATTTAATTCTATTTTGAACAAACCCAGGAATTAAATGAATTGAATCATCGAATGAAGATTACACGATCCAAGAAAGCTTTCCCACTTTCAAGCAAACAACTCACATATATCGGAAATTGAAAATGTTGGAAAATGGGATTCCTGAAATCAGTTTCTGACAAAATTAAACGGAAGCTCCCTAAGAAGAAAGTTCATCTGAAAGCCCATTGAATTTCTTCAAGGGTTTTCCCTTTTGTCTCGGGAACCCAAATGGCGACAAATATCACAGTAAAAGCACACACAACCCCGTATATGGTGAAGGTTCCTGCAGACAACGTTCATTTTAGTTAAATAAGAAAATATTAACCTCCAAAAATAGAGACGGAGAGAAAGCAAACTGACCTCCGGAGCTCCAGTCCAAAAGCCAATTTGCTGTCAATGTAACCAACCAGGCACTGAACCAATTAGCAAGGGTAGCAACACTTCCGGCAAGGCCTTTAATGTTGAGCGGAAGAATCTGCAATACCAATTTGACAATGTATCAGATCTCACTGAAAAAGCAACCAGTAACACAGACCATCATTTCGTTATTTACAGTCTGCAACGCGCCAAAAATGAAGCACCATCCCAGAAGTATATTCTCGTGCTGAACAAGAAAATTTGATTTAAAGAGTTTGATAAATGGGGCTTCATTTTGCTGCAAATAAATTCATACAGCATTAATTTATTCATGAAAAAACACTAGTTAATTCTCGTGACCCCAGCAATGGAGTAAGTAGGAGCACATATGTAGGTTCACAGAGAGTCTGATTAACAGCTAGAAGTGTAGGAAACTAAAATTCTCTTTCAGGAAAGAATCACTATGCCAATGAAGAAAAATTACAAAATGCAGTACCTCAGACATTATAATCCACGGAATGGCTCCCATTCCCACAGAGAAAGCAGCAACCATAGCCTGAAATAATAGGATATTTAAAATAAAATATTTGAATCAAGCATCTTAAAGGCTTTTTGTATAACCCATGTGAAGATATCACATACCACAACTCCAGCCACTGCTAAGATGCTCAATATCTTATATAAAATAGACTCATCTGATAAGAAATCCTGAGAACAATGAAGGAAAATTTACTGGGGTTAAAGAAAAAACATAAGAAACATAAAGGACATTATCTAAGCTGTTCATGGTGAGCTTGTTATTTCATTCTCTGAATTAACAGATAATCTATAGTCACATGTGCCAGATATACGCATACTTGAAGTAGATAACGCATCTTAATTTCCATCACAATGAAGTTAGTAACGTTATCACCTTTACATAGAATGAGACAGCAACAACTATGAGACTAATGGTCATTCCAGCAGAAGAGACCTGCAATTGAAACACGAATAATCAAAATCTTATCCACCAAGCAGATTCATATTAGAGTCAATTACTAATTTAGTCCCTAAAACATCACTTTTCTCTCAATTCGATGCTTCAAATACGTATTGAGAGACTTTATCTCTGGATGACGAAAGTAAGACAAGAGTAATATTTCAGGGACTAAATTAAGAGGCTCTGCCTCAAA